TAGATACATATATAATAATAGCTGAAGACTTCAACACCGCCCACTTTCAGCATTGCATAGATCATCCAAACAGAAAATCAACATATAAATATCAGACATAATCTGCACTATAGACCAAATGGAACTAATATGCATTGATAGAACATTTTATTCAATGGCTGCAGAATATACATTCTTCTCAGCACATGGATCATTCTAAAGACAGACCATATCTTAGGCCACAAAACAAGTCTTAAAACATTCAAAAATTGAAATAATATCAACTATCTTCTCTAACCACAATGGAATAAAACTAGAAATTAGTAACCAGAGGAATTTTGGAAAATATACAAACACAGGGAAATTAAACACTCTGCAGCTGAATGAACAGTGGGTCAACGAGGAGATTAAGAAGGAAATTGAAAAGTTTATTCAAACAAATTACAATGGAAACACAACATACCAAAAACGATGGAATAAAGCAAAAGCAGTGCTAAAAAAAATGGAAACCTGTAAGCACCTACATCAAAAAAGTAGAAAAACTTCCAATAAACAACTTAATGATGCGTCTTAAAAAACTATGAAAACAAAAGCAAACCAAACCTGAAGTTAGAAGAAACAATAAATATCAGAGCAGCCCTAAGTGAAACTGAAATGAAGAAAGCAACACAAAAGATCAATGAAAAAAACGTTGAATTTTTTGAAAAGATAAACAAAATTGACAAATCTTTAGCAGACTAAAAAAAAAAAGAGAGAAGATTCAAATAAAATCAGCAGTGAAAAATGAGACATTACAATTAATACCACAGAAATTCTCAGGCCGGGCGCGGTGGCTCACACCTGTAATCCCAGCACTTTGGGAGGCCGAGGCGGGTGGATCACAAGGTCAAGAGATCAAGACCATCCTGGTCAACATGGTGAAACCCCGTCTCTACTAAAAATACAAAAAATCAGCTGGGCATGGTGGTGCGTGCCTGTAATCCCAGCTACTCAGGAGGCTGAGGCAGGAGAATTGCCTGAACCCAGGAGGCGGAGGTTGCGGTGAGCCGAGATCGTGCCATTGCACTCCAGCCTGGGTAACAAGAGCGAAACTCCGTCTCAAAAAAAAAAAAAGAAATTCTCATATACCCAATAAATATATACACCTGTGATGTACCCAAAAAACTTAAAATTCAAAGAATTTTTGAAACTAAAAATAGATATTTTGTTGCTAAAAAATACTAACAGTCATTTAAACCTTCAGCAACTCGTCATCTTTTCGCTGCTGGAGGGTCTTGCCTCAATGACATTGAGGGCTGCTGACTGATAATGGTTGCTGAAGGTTAGGGTGGCTATGGCAATTTCTTAAAAGAAAATGAAGTTTCCCACATCAATTGACTGTTCGTTTCACAAAAGATTTCTCTGTAGCATGCAATGCTGTTTGATAGTATTTTACCCACAAAACTTCCAAAATTAGAATCTTTTGGGTGTTGAAACTTAATGGCAAAACAAACAAACAAAAAAAAGAGCACACCTCTCAAGCTCTGCTGCTGCTTTATCACCTATGTTATGTAAGATTCTAAATTCTTTGTTGTCATTTCAACAATTTTTACAGCATCTTCACCAGGAGTACATTCCGTGTGAAAAAAAATTTTTTTTCTTTTCTCCATAAGAAGTAATTCATCCATTCAACTTGGTTTTTCTGTTTGTTTTCAGAGACTGGGTCTCTGTCACCCAAGCTGTAGTGGAGTGCAGTGACATGATCATAGCTCACCTAGGTTTAAACAATTTGCTCAAATTCCTAGGTTTAAGCAATCCTCTCATCTCAGCCTCCCAAGTAGCTAGGACTATAGGTGCACTCCACCACATCCAGCTAATTTTTTTAATTGTATCTTTTGTACAGATGGATTCTCACTATGTTGACCAAGCTGGTCTCAAACTCCTGGCCTCAAGCAATCCTCCTGCCTCAGCTTCCCAAAGTGCTGGGATTACAGGAATGAGCCACCATTCCCAGCCTTCATTCAAGTTGTATCATAAAATTGCAACAATTCAGTCACATTTTCAGGCTCCACTCTAGTTCTCTTGCTATTTCCACCACATGTGCAATTACTTCTTCCAGTGAAATCCTGAATCTGTCAAAGTCATCCACGAGGGATAGACTCAGCTTCTTCTAAATTCCTATTAATGTTGATATTTTGACCTCCTCCCATGAATCTTAATGGCATCCAGAATGGTGAATCCTTCCAGAAGGTTGTCAATTTACTTCACCCAAGTCCATCAGAAGAATCACTATCTACGGCAGCTGTAGCCTTATGTAATGTATTTCTTAACTAATAAGACTTGCAAGTTGAAAGTACTCCTTGATCCATGATCCATCTACTCCTTGATCCATCTACAGAATGGATGTTGTGGCCGGGCGCAGTGGCTCAAGCCTGTAATCCCAGCACTTTGGGAGGCCGAGGTGGGTGGATCACGAGGTCAAGAGATTGAGACCATCCTGGTCAACATGGTGAAACCCCGTCTCTACTAAAATTACAAAAAAATTAGCTGGGCATGGTGGCGTGTGCCTGTAATCCCAGCTACTCAGGAGGCTGAGGCAGGAGAATTGCCTGAACCCAGGAGGGGGAGGTTGTGGTGAGCCGAGATCGCGCCATTGCACTCCAGCCTGGGTAACAAGAGCGAAACTCCATCTCAAAAAAAAAAAAAAAACAAAACAGAATGGATGTTGTGTTTGCAGGCATGAAAACAACATCGATTTCTTTGTACCTCTCCACCAGAGCTCTTGAGAAACCAGGCACAATGTCAATGAGCAGTAATATTTTGAAAGTCACCTTTTTTGCAGATAAATGGGTCTCAACAGTAGGCTTAAAATATTCAGTAAGTCATGCTGTAAACAGATGTGCCATAATCCAAACTCTGTTATTCCATTTATAGAACACAGAATAGATTTATCATAATTCGTAAGGGCCCTAGGATTTTCAGAATGGTAAATAAGCATTGGCCTCAACTTGAAGTCACCAGCTGCATTAGCCCCTAATAGGAAAGTCAGTCTTTCCTTTGAAGCCAGACATTGATTTCTCCTCTGTAGGTATTAAAGTTCTAGATGGTAGCATCTTCTTCCAATAGAAGACTTTCATCTATAATGATAATGTATTGTTTAGTGTAGCCACCTTCATCAATTATCTCAGCTAGATCTTCCTGAGCAGCAGTCCCCAACCTTTTTGGCACCAGGGACAGGTTTTGTGGAGGACAATTTTTCCACGGACCAGGGGTGGGGGTGGAGGGGCATGGGGGTGGGGAATGATTTGGGGATGAAACTGTGCCACTTCAGATCATCAGGCATTAAAGTCTCATCCTAGATCCCTCACATGTGCAGTTCACAGTAGGGTTTGCTCTCCTGTGAAAATCTAATGCTGCTGCTGATCTGAAAGGAGGCGGAGCTCAAGCAGTAATGCTCACTACAGGCCCATTCCCACCCCATCCCCTCCATCCACCCCCCACCGCACCACTTCCCCACCTCCAGCTGTGTGACCTTGTTCCTTACAGGCCAGGGACCAGTACCTCCCGAGGGCTGAGGCTGGTGACCCATGTTCTGGATAACTTGCTGCAGCTCCTACATTAGCATTTGCTGCTTTACCTTACACTTCTACATTATAAAGACAGCTTCTTTCCTTAAACTTCATGAACCAACCTCTGCTAGCTTCTAACATGCCTTTAGCAACTTCATCTCTCAGCCTTCACAAAATTGAAGAGAGTTAGGGCTTTACTCTGGATTCATCTTTGGCTTAAGGGAATGTTGTGGCTGGTTTTATCTTCTATCCAGACCACTCAAACGTTCTTCATATCAGCAGTAAGACTATTTCACTTTCTTATTATTTGTGTGTTCACTGGAATAGCACTTTTAATTTCCTTCAAAAATTTTTCCTTTGCATTCACAACTTGGCTGTTTGGTGCAAGGGTGCCTATCTTAGCTTTCAACATGCCTTCTGCACTAAGCTGAATAATTTCTAGCTTTTGATTTAAAGTGAGGGATATGCAACTTTTCCTTTCACTTGAATACCTAGAAGCCATTGTAGAGTTATTAATTGAACTAATTTCAATATTATTGTGTTTCAGGGAACAGAAGACCAAAGGAGAGGGAAATGGCAGAATAGCCTGTCAGTGGGGCAGTCAGAACACACACAACATTGATTGATTGATTGCTGTCTTCTATGGGTGTGGTTTGTGGTGTCCCAAAACAATTTTAATAGTGATTTCAAAGATCACTGATCATTGATCACCATAGCAGATTTATGGAAAGAAAAATGATAAACACAATCATATTGGTAGTGTTCTAGTCCTTAGGTGCGTTCATACATGTTCACTTTATTGATATGTACCATAACTTCAATTCCATATTTATAAAAATGCTCAAAAAACTGTACATCCGCTTTTAGCACTGCAGTGAGTCAACACTCCCCAACAAAAACTGGATTTCCTGAAAAACAGGTTAAGGCGGAGAGAGGGCAGGAATGTTTTTCAGAATGCCAAAGGTCAACCTGTATCATCTTCTGTAAGTAAAATGTATGTATATGCATAGTTTCCGTTTTTTAAGACAAGGGAGTGTAGTGGGGAATCAGCGTACAAAACTACACCACTACCTTAAGCATGAAAATCAATTATGTGCTTTTCTTTGATTTGTTGGCCAAAGAAAAAAATTACAACTCAGAAAACTTTCTTGGAGATGCATATGCTCAGTGTATCCAAACTTCAGGCTTGTTGGGTACAGTATTGATTTACATAAAGTTCCTCTAATCAAACCTGAGCTAATAACTTACTATGGAAAGAGTAATTGATAAGAGCCATCCCCCCAACTGGAGTCAACTTTCGTGTCTGTTCTGATTTCCTTTATTTTGGGGCAGTTCATCCAAACTTCTAATTAAATGGCAACTCGTTCACTTTTGAGAAATGTGTCACAAGAAACAACAACAAAGCAGTTGAGGAGGAAAGAAAAGAGACACAGTAAAAAAACAAAAACGGATGTGGAAGCTGAAAATACGGACAATTTACTTCCAAAAAAATATGCAAGATCGGAGCAAAACTTTCAAGGGCTCTTTTTCAGTGTAATGGTAGTGAGGAAGATCGGCTTGAAAAGCCCAGGGCTTAAAAAAGTAAACAATGTGCAGGACCATTCATTCAGCTTCCGCAGAACCCACCGCAAAGATGGCGATGGAACGAAGCCCCTTCTGCGAAGCCTGTCGCTACACATTTCCCACAAACCCTTCCGCGCAGCCCCGCTCGCCGAAACCTGCACCGCCGATGCCCGGTTACTGCGCACGCGCGGGACGACGTCACGTGTTCTCCCCGGGCTCGGCGGAGCTGGCAGGAGGGACCTTGCCAGCTTCCGCCGCCGCGTTGCTTCAGGGCTCGGCTGGCGGATTCGCGCTGCCTCCGCCACTGCAGGGCAGCTGGGGGAAGGGAGCCGAGCTAAGGGCGCGCGTCGGCGCGGCCATGGGACTGCGCCGGATCCGGTGACAGCAGGGAGCCAACCGGCCCGGGCCCTGAGCGCCTCTCCTCCGGGGGGCCTCGCCCTCCTGCTCGCGGGGCCGGGGCTCCTGCTGCCCTTGCTGGCGCTGCTGCTGGCGGTGGCGGCGGCCAGGATCATGTCAGGCCGCCGCTGCGCGGGCGGGGGAGCGGCCTGCGCGAGTGCGGCGGCTGAGGCAATGGAGCCGGCTGCCCGAGAGCTATTCGAGGCGTGCCGCAATGGGGACGTGGAGCGAGTCAAGAGGCTGGTAACGCCGGAGAAGGTGAACAGCCGCGACACGGCGGGCAGGAAATCCACCCCGCTGCACTTCGCCGCAGGTAACCCGGGCCAGCGCCCCCTCGCTTCGCTGTAGACCCCACCTGCGCACCCGGGGCTTGTAGGCCTGAAACCAGTGCTCTTCCACCCCTCGACCTGTACTCTAAGGACTGTGGTCCTCGTGATCTCCCTCTCTTCCAGTGGGGACTGAGGAGATTGGGGGTTGGGTGAGCGTGCCACACTCACTGGAAGTTTTTGTTTTGTTTTTGCCGAGGGTGGGGGTGGTTTGGGGTTTTGGCTTTGTTTTGTTGGTACAATACCTGTACCAACTTCCGGTCTTGTTACCCTAGAAGGCGTCTACACACAGGAAAGAATAGGGGACTTTAGTAAATAGACCTTATGATTTCAACGATCAGTTACCTCCAAAATTTTTTCATTCTTGCAAGTTCCATTGGGATTAAGGTCTTGAAGGACTTTGTAAAATGCAAGGATGTAATTTCGGAGGAGTAGCTTAATAGGCCGTTGACATATTAGCGTTAATTGGTTTATCAGAATGGCCAATCAGCAAGTTTCTGGAGTGACTACAGCTGGAAATAGGCAAGTTTGGGAGAACTGAAATCTGACTAGGCTGGGTGCGGGAAGTCTTTGACATACACACAACACAAGTTGAGGTGGAAAGTAGTAGTATAATAGAAAAGATGGTGCAAGTAGCTTAGCTTGGATCTAGAATATAAGTTGGAACTAACCTTCATTCTGAGATTTAGATCGTTTGAATTACTTTCTAATATTTATTAGGTTCATTTTATGATGTAAGCATATTAAATTTAGTCGAAGAATTTAAAAGAACCAGAGGTGGGATATTCAGCTTATTCCCATAAAGCATACATGTTTTTCACTTGTAGGAAAGATCATGACTGTTTCTAACTTAAGGTGAGCCATGTGTGATTGAAAATGCGAGTACCTCCTCTTACCTCTGACCATCCTGGTTTTTTGTTTTGTGTATTTCGTGATTGTTAAAAACAATTTTTTGAAAAAGCAGGGAATGCCTTTTAAAGTGCTCCTGTTCTTTTGGGGCTAGATTGATGAAGAGAAAAGGAGCAGTGAGAAAGATTTCCTCTTTCACAAACATTACTTTTACTTTCTACCAATTGGACATTTGTTTGTTTTACCCTGTTCCGAATTTTAAATGTAAACACTACCAGGAGGTATGCTTTTTTGATCAATTGCATCTTTGTTGGATTTCCACTGGGGAGTCTTTTTAAGAAAAGAAAGCCTAGGGAACCTAGGTGGGAGAACTAGAAACAGTTTGTGGGCAATGGAAAGAGAAGGAAGAATGCTTAAGTCAAATCACACCTAATTAGCCGAAATTTTACCCGAAATTTTGATGGTAAGTGCTGCTGTTCTTCAGCTAATTCAGATTGTCCTGTTTGACCATGTAGTCAACATTTAAACAACTGATTTGGCAAACTGTCACCACCAACTGATACATAAGCCAAAGGGTAGGGTTACTTAGAGTCTGTTCATTTGATCTGTGGGATAAAAATAGCCAAGTAAGATCTTAGTTGCTACCTTTCAAGAATTTGGTGTATTAATGAGTTCATATCTGAAAATAGTAATATTTAGAGGTGTAAGATTATGGGTATTAGCTCAGTGACCTTGTTCCTTCTCTACCTTCCTACCTTCAGTTCTATTCCAACATTTCAAAGCATTTTTTACATAGATTTCATTTTGTTTGTTCAAGTTGAAATGGAAGACAATATTTTGGAAACCACCCAGCCCTGACAACTTACCCAAATTATCAGGTAAAGGTTATAAGATTAATAGTTAAAGGTATGAAAGGGGAGTAATAAAAATTAACAGGGATGAGGGGGGGAATCTTCATTCAACCAGAACTTTTAAAGTCCTGTACTTAAATCCAAGCATATAAGAAACTTTTTTAAAAATTGTCTTTGTAGATTTAATTTAAATTTTAGGTTTATCAGAGAGAAGTTTTTTAAGTGCGTCCAACTAACTTTTCACTCAATATGTGGAGAATACACTTTATAATCTCTTGTAGGTAGGTAGTGAGTTATCAGTCATCTTAATGTGTCTGCAAGCATACTGTTGGAAGTTCAACATAGGTGGTAGTATTATATAACTGCCTGACCAAGCAGTTTCCTGTGTTTGTACATCAGTCATAGGGTGAGCTATTGGAGAGGCTGAGGGACATCATTATTTTAAAATTTTTTTAGCTGATTAAGGTTTGGAGGTTTTATTGGGGGGAGGCATGTTTTTTTCTTTTTGTTTTGATTCCCAAGTAATATTAGGACTGAGAGGTGCACGCAGACCACAAAAAATGAAAATCAGTTTAGAAAAAATTTGTTTTAATTTCATCCTCAAAAAAGTTAGTTCAATTAAAAGAATAATCAGTTGTCAGCACCAAGACAATTAAGTTCTGTTAATGAAAAAGGCAACATGAACAGAAATTTTTCTACTACTAGGTGTTTTTTTAAATTTTTGAACTAGATTGCATGCTTTTCTTCTAGATAAATATTATTTAAGAAGTAGTTTCTTAGGAGAAAAATGACTCTGAAAATTGTTTCCTTTTCAGTCTGCCTGCCACTTGCCCCCCACCATACACAGACATACACAAGTAGGAATGATTTTTTGGCAGCACATAATAGAACTTGTAGAGGCAAGTTGGTGGTAGTAGGGTAGCTGTTGTTCTAATTTTACTAAAAGCAAAAGTATCTGAGATTCTTGACAAGTTAATGCCCTAGAAAACAGCGAATTTCAATAAAGAAAACTGCTTCTCTGAACTTACTTCTAAAAAGTAAAGAAGAGGTGACACAAACTTGGGGAGAAAGTCATCTTGATGCCCATCATAGAAATGAAAGAAATACGTGGCATTCCTTACAATCTTAGAACTCTTGGAGCTGGGATAATAGCTTGCATTGTAGAGTCCTACTAAACAAGGTAACACTTGTTTTATATTTATAGTATGTTATGTTACTGTTAGTAAGAGTATGCTACTGAACCATATACATTGGACCAGTTAGACTGAACTTGGATTATTATATTCAATACTGTGAATCAAGTATAAGGGATTTATTTTTTATCCAGAGGAGGAAAGTAGAATCAGAGCATCCAAAATGTATTGCACAAGCATAGATACGAAAATTCGTGCTGCTTATTCTACAGATGGAAGAAGACTACACCATGTTACTGTCTTCACATATGTGGAAGAATCACAAAGAGTATGTAGATATTACTTGTCAAAACTAAGGCCAATAGATGAAAGGTTACAAGGGGTCAGACAACCTTTAACAATATTCAGCCATTGAACTGGCTGAAGTATCCAAGCAGTGGCTCGATTGGCTTTTTTAAGAGATGTTGTACAGAGGATTTCAGCCTAGTTTGACCAAAAGGTTGGTACAAGAAAGTGGACAGATTTCCTCCAATTGAAGGTTTTAGCTGCTTAGCTATCAAAGATATATTAGCTTTTGTGATTGCCATTCATATCCTTTCCCAAAATGATAACTATTGGAGACCTCCAATAACCTTTCTTTGGCTGTAGGTCAACATCATAGTTGTAAGAGATGCACAAAATATACTCAACCTAGAACTACAATTATAGATTGTTGTTTTCAGGATTGGTTTTTCTGTAGAATGTAATTAAATCATATATGTATCAGCAGGAAACCCTAGTATCAAATAAAGATTAGTCTGTTTAGGAATTCATAATCTTTCTTTACTTATCAAATCTCCCAATCTATTATAAGATTTTGAGGTATACCTTTTCCGTCAGCTCTTGCTGGATTTAGAGGCAGACAGTTGGCTTCAGTAACAAGAGTTTGGAATACTCCTTTCAGTATTCTCCTACTCAGGTGGTCAAAATTTCATCACCCCACAGGCCATGGTGTTCTTTTCCAAGTTTCTAGTAATCTGGCCAGACAGTATATCTATCCCAAGTAGAGATGGGCAAAGCCCTCTCCTTTGTATTCTTCATTCTTAAGAAATACATGTGGGAAATAATTTTGCTGGATCTTAGGAAACTAAAGTTAATAGTAAATGAGGCCCAGGCACGGTGCCACACACTATCATTCTAGGACTCTGGGAGGGAAAGACAGGAGTATCACCTGAACTCAAAAGTTCAAGACCAGCCTGGGCAACGTGGTGAAACCTCATCTCTACAAAAAAAAAGAAAAAGAAAGAAAAATGAGCCAGGCATGGTGGCACAGGCCTGACACTCTGGGAGGCAAAGGCAGGAGTATCACTTGAGCCGAAGAGTTCAAGAGCAGTCTGGGCCACATGACAAAATTTCGTCTCTACAAAAAAAAATAGAAAAATTAGCCAGGTGTGGTAGTGCAGGTCTATAGTCCTAGCTACATGGGAGGCTACAGATGGAGGATTACTTGAGCCAGGGAGATCAAGGCTGCAGTGAGCCGGGATTGTGCCATTGCACTCTAACCTGGGCAACAGAGGGAAACCTTGTAACATAAAATAGTAAATGAGAAGTTTAAAATGACATTCCTCAGAAAAAAATCTGCCACTAAGCATCCTGGCTAAAGGTTGCTTGAAAGCTGTTTGATTTTACCTTCCAGTCTCCCAGACCACAGGAGCTTTGTTTTGTGGCATTTGTTGACATTTTTCCAGAACTTTGCCTTTGGACAAAACCCTGTGTGATAGCCTACCTTTAGATAATGCAAAACATCACCATCTCGTATGGGACCAATTGTATTATCAGTTATTAATCCCACCTTTGGACTATAAAAGACAGGAGGGGGTTAGCACTTAAACTTCCCAAGAGTCTAAGTTGGTTTCTCTGTAGTGACTTGACTGCCTCACAACTTTTGGGAAGCCATTCAGATGAAAGCATGTTTCCAGTATAACAGCAAAATATAATACTATTAATAATAGTCATGGTTGGCAAGCAGTGCCTAGAGCTGCTGAAACTGATGGCATCTAGATAAGTAATAAATTTGACAAGAGACTGCTTTTCTTAGTTGTCACAAATCATTAACACCATATTCTTTGTGAGGGTCCTTTGCTATTCCAGCAGAGTGTTAGACATGCTTTAAAC